AAGATGCTGCATAGGCAAATAAATACGTAAATATAAATGATAATCTATAGTTCCACAATTTATTGAAAATAATATTCAACGATATCTTTCGGTCGTAGACCTTTATCAAGTTATAGTGAGAATAAAAAAGATAAGATATATAATATATAGTGATAGAGGGTGTCTGTTATAATACGTATTTATCAAATACTATTCTGACGTTTTGTTTGCTATATTTTTGTTGCAGGTGTACTCGTCATCTCAAAGCCAGAGGCACAGATCTGCTGATTTGTCCGAAACAATTTTATCAAATATTATCAACAGTCCAGTATCAATATAACGTTCACACCAAACCAAATACGTTTCCATAGATACCCGATATACATACTGCATGGTACTGAAGTGTAAATTCTACTTGAAGACGTTATCTTTCTGCTATTGAACGTACTTGTCGAAAGCTCAAACTGATAAATAATGTTTGCGCATTCTTGACTTGCCAAGCAGTGTCCGGCTGTACGAATCCAGCTAGATAACTTGCACATTACACAACTGCTCTTCAACTGTTAATGACTTCTGCTTTCCTACTGTAGCATCCGAGTTTGCAAATTGATGGACTAGGCTTACCTGACATAACAGAAGGTGTATTCACTAAGGGTACCTTAACGGCTATTAGAAAATAATGTATTCTAGTAGGCCTACACTTCAGAATATAATTGTCGACATATTAGTACAAATCTTCAAACTATTGGATATAATAATGTAGGCCTATAATTGAAATTACATTCGCAATGCCAGGTTGTGTTGTTGCGGGCACGATGTATCAACCACGTAGCAATGAGCAAAATTCGCAGCGGGATCGCGATTTAGCCAAACGGATGGAAACACCAGTGCTGTTCACCAAGTCATTGCCAAACCGAGCGAGGGTCTCAAGTTCTGAATTTAAGCGATTTCAAAATCCAAAGGAAGCATGGGCAACACAGAAACATAACAGAACGAATACTTTCCCTCGTAGTGATGCCTTTCGAAAGAATATTGATTTAGAATCACAGTTCCAGACTGAACTCAGTAAATGTTTATTTGAAAAAGCGCTCGAGCGAATTGAAAGCAGAACATGTGCAGATGATATTGCTCTTTTAAAAAGTAGACATTTGTCCAAGAATATAATTAGGCCATCTAGTAGCTTTAGTTATTGGTCTTCTCAGCCAATATTTGAAATGAGCCAATCTCTGTGGACTACAAAAACAAACTGTTCCGACTTGAGGACCTCGCTAAACATAAAAGAAACGAAATGTAAATCAGAAATTGTTAAAAATAACGAGAAGTTTGATACCTACTTTGTGAATGGTAGTTTGGACGTCAGAGCTGTTGCTAAGTCACGCGGCCCTATTGAGACACCAACTGGAAACATACATGCTCAAATTCATCGGATAAAAAGTGCAAATGCGCAGAATCTTCATGGACATTCATTGAAATATATGTATTCTGATAAAAGAAAAGAATATGAATATAGGAAAATGATGAAACTATATATAGATAAACCACCACCTGCCCCTCCGCCTCCACCAACCCCAGCAGAAAGGCAACAGGCTAGAGACGAAGCACTGAGAATATTAACAGAAAAGTTGAAAGCTGAAGAAGAAGAAAAAGCTGCAAAGGAAGCGCAACTAAAAAAGGAAATGGAGGAAAAGGCCGCCGCTGAGGCGGCAGCAGCAGCTATCGCCAGCAGGCCTTCATCTTCAGGGAAAACTGTGACATTTAATGACAAACTCACTAGTACCAAAATCATAGGCGGTAGAAAGAAAGGATCACGAAGAGGCTCACCAGCAAGAAAACCGTCACCTACTACTAGAACGAATTCTGCAGCGCCCAAAAAACCGTTCCCTGGTTCCGGTAGAGCTTCACCATCTAGTCGTAAAGCATCCCCAAGTGGATCGCCTAAGCCGCCTTCGCCTAAAGGAAACACCAAGAAAAAGAAAGGAGGTGCGAAGGGAAAGAAGGAAAAGAAGAAAGATAAAAAGGTTGAGACTGTAGTTACTCCACCACCAGAAGAACCAAAGCCACTAGTACCAGAACCAGAACCACTGCCAGAGCCCATTAAACCAGAAGAACCTAAGCAACCGTCTGAGCCTAAAGTTGTTTTGCTTGATGAACCGCCAAAGTATACACCAGCTACTGAATATAAAACAAGAAATAAGCGAGTATCTGATTGGTTGTATAGCTGCAGTTCTGCAGCATCTGGTACGTATCAACCATTCCTGTGATAATAAAAAGAAAGGAGTTCTGTGTGTGCTTTTACTAGAATGGTTATCCAAAGAACAGCTATATAGGTGCTAATTTATAATCGAAGTATGTACAAAATGAGCATTAAACTATAATGAAATATATACATTATACTATAATGAAATATAATTATACTGTAATGAAATAATGAAATAGGTATATATATATATAGGGCCTATATATATATTGTTATATACATGCCTATATATATGACATTGAAGGAAGTTAGCCGTTAACACTATTGAATAAATATAATATAAATAATCAAAGGTACATATACAGTGTTCTTCCATCATGTCCTTATTAAATACTGTATATGTACCTTTAATGAGAGAGCCTGAAAATGGTTACCGATGGTATATAATAATATAATATAAGACAGGGCCTCTAAAGATGTGCTCTAATCTTGTGTCAGTTCTGGTGTGAGATATGCCTGACTTTTTATCACAACGTTAATAACACATAAATCAATAAATCACACAATCAAAAAACAATTTATTCAATCCTACAAATCATATTCCAAATAAATAAAGGAAAATTTAAATTGTAGGATCTAGAAGACACACATTAAGACCAGGTGTCGAAAGCATGAGAACCACCCAGCAAACTAATAATGTATGATAATTTGAAAAGAAAACAAAAGTATAGTAAAGTGTTTCCTCCTTGAAGTAAAAAAAAAAATCGCATTTCATTTTTTTGTACTAAAAATGCAATATAATAACTTTCCCCTTCTTTAAAAGGAATCAGCATATTGTTTTAAAAAAAATTAAATTATCTACATTGATAGTAATTTATGATCCAAATGCGGGTGTCAGATTCAAATACACGTAGGCCTATTATTATTATAATTATTATTATTATTATTATTGTTATTATTATTATTATTATTATTATTATTATTATTAATAATAATAATAAAAAGCATTTATATATCGCCTTTATTTTAAAAAAAGACCATTTTTACAAAGATAAAAGTAAGTAATAAAAAAAATCAATCAATAAAATGGTAAGTACAAATTACAATATTCAATTAAATTTTCGAAGATCAAAGTGCTGTACATTAAAACCCATTTTTACAGAGATAAAAGTAAGTAAAATAAAAAATCAATTAATAGAAATGGGAATAGTAGACCATTTTGAAAATTGTCATAACTTTTATATAAAATTGTTTACGGAGATGCGGCTATCACTCATCAAGGTTACATGACATTCAACATGGATTACGGAACGTTCAATTTTGCACTTTCCGTCCTGTACTAAATAATAATAATAATTAATATCTATATTATTATCATTAGTATCAAAAGTATTATAACATTACCATTATTATCATTATAGTTATTACTCTAATTGCAATAAATTATCGTTGTTTTTAGGCCTATATTTAAAGTATTATTTTTATATTATTTGCTTGTTTTGGTTGTTATTATAACTTCTAAATGTTTACATATGACGGATCCAAAGTATTTTCAATGTAATGAATAACACCATTACGGGCAACTATGTCTCTTTCAATTACTATGACGTCATTTACTAATCTTTTTCCGTGGATTAATTGAAAGATGACTTGGTCTTGAGTTTCTGTGTACTTCACTACAGCTTTGCTGTATATATTCGAATCGTCTGGCGATACTTCCGGGAAACACACGTGGCCTGGGATATCAAATAATATTTTTTTAAAACCTGATAAAATGACTTTGTGTACTATCATGCAATATCTTCATTATAATATTATATTATAATTGTCATCATCACTATATCACTTTCATCTTCATCGTCATCACCGCGGTGATAATGATTATCATCATTTACGCCAGGTTGTCAATTTGGTTCACTGCACAAGCGATTCGATATCATTAAAACCGACTGTGTTTACACCACAAAACCCCCAACAGCTTGAACGCAATATCATTATACTCTGCTGTTATTATAGTTGTTCTAGGTGGTGATGGTTGTGGTGATGGTTATGGTATTGGTTTTCACTGTCACACGCAATGCGGCATCACATCACAATTTATGGAAACTTTCAAAAAACGCTGTTAACTATTAGGCCCTTATACTGTATTTATTAAAGTATTATTTGAAGTACAGAATATAAAATTACAAGATGAGTGACTATTAGTGCATCCGGCAATTTTATAGTATGTCAGTAAATGGGGTTATTCGACAGTTCGTTTTATATTTACGACCATAGTATTTCCTCTCTCCTTTAAACGTGCACATTTGTTTTATTGTCAACGAATCCAATATATTACAGTTATATAAAACGAAAGAAATTCATCCATTCTCACCTATGACTATATGGTACAATATAACCCGCCTTAACTTTCTTCTGTCTTCTCTAATGTCTTTTGGTAATGCATTGATGGCGCTATTTGTTGGAACTAAAACTGTAACCTGTTCTTGGTCCAATATTCGCAGAATATGTACAAGGTGTTGCACGTATTGGAAGAACTCTGTAAAACGAGGATCTGTGGACAGAACTTCCATAATATGCTTGGTCGGTGACATGAGTACCTAGATATAGCAGATGTTACATATGAAATTATGATCGTAGTATTTGTCGCTTGCATTTTCTCTTGCTATAGGCCTAGGCCTACTCTCTCTCAGCTCACTCTCCCCCACCCCCCGCCCTCGCCCTCTCTCTCTCCCCCCCCCCCGCCCTCTCTCTCTCTCTCTCTCTCTCTCTCTATCTATCTATCTATCTGTCATTTGATTAGACACTAGGTCTGTACTATTGATAAACAACAAAAAACACCACCACAACAAAACAACCACAACAAACCACAACAACAAGAGTAGCAGCAGCAACAACAACAATAATATATATATATATATATCTTAAAATGATCAAAAACAATATGAAAAATCAAGAGTTTTAATAGTAGTAATAAAATAGGCATTCTGTTATATATATATAAAAAAGATATTGAATGACGTTGGTATTCACCTTGTTTATTATAAAAATCGATCCTTCATATTCATCGAAATCAATAACTCTCCCACAAACTTGATTAAGTTGTGTTTGAACATTTGTCAGCTGCAATAAATATAAAAAGAAAATATGAGGTTTTAATTAACGCCGAAACACTAGTAAACATTTTTAAGAATTAAGTATGTTGTTTAGGTGAGTTTTAATTACTCTTATACATAATCTTAACTAGGGTGCAGTAATATTTCAATAATATGACTGCTCGCTGATCTTAACTGGTGGTTTAATTTAGTTTATTCATTAAAATTACAACAATTTACATTAAAGTAGCAGAATAGTTAGGCCGCTTATCAAGATATGGACCTATTCCTATGCTTCTTCCTTGTTTTATACTAGGCCTATTACCTTACTTATTGCATTAGGGCACCAATTATCCAGCCCAGAGGTAGGAACCACAATCTTATTCATATTCAAGATATCTGTCAACGGGTAAGTACATCTTGGTATTGTATGCCACATGATAAAGTCAGTTAATGCTTTCCGGTCAGAGCTTAGATTCTCTATAAATCCTTCGGGAGTATTCTAAGACAATGATGATAAACGATAAATTTTAATAAAAAAGAAAGGTGACAATATATATCAAATTTTATATCATTACAAACATAATGTAAAAAATTACTCAAGCTCACTCCTTATTACACTCAGTATCCGACATCGAAGGAACCAACATCAAAGCATAATTTACCATAAGTGCCGTATCAGTTGGAGCAAAAAATATAGATGTATTCATTAGTGTTCCGGTGTCGATACCACTCAACATCAATAAATCCATAAGTTTCAATCCAATCTTGGTTGAAACATACGCTGCAATTAATCACAAATAAAATATAGGCTATTATATAATAAATATAGAAATTAATAATTATTATCTTTATAATTTCACAATTCAAAACTTACTTTCACAGATCTTCCCTGTGTACGGTCTTTCACATTCACATGAAAAACTCTTTTCGTTTAAGTGGCAACGCCCTTTGTTTTTACAAGGATTTGGTAAACATGGATCTACAGAGAAGAAGATAGTTTGTATTTATATACATATATTTTATTAAACTTATGAAGAAAAAAGTAAAAATAAAATTATAATAATGAAGGCTAAACAATAATTATTGTAATAATGGTGCTTAATAAACATCAATAACTATGACACTACATAATTATATCCAATAGTTTAATAAGGCCTTGTATTAATGTTACTAATTGTAGTGATCATTATTATTATTATTAATATTATTATTATTATTAAAGGTAAATATCATTAAATTAATAAATGTTATCAAAAATTGTTATTACTTATAGTTTCACAAAATTCTCCAATATACTGCTTCGAACAATGACATTCAATGACACCATCCTTTAGTAAGCACTTGGCGTCATTGTGACATGGATTTGGTTGACACGGATCTGCATTATAGGAAATATCAAAGTAGAAATCATGCTCACATTATTAAACAGTTCACCCACTTTCCGTTGACACCAAAACATAACAAATGTTTCAAAAAAGGTTCAAGATGTTATTTTTTTGTAAATCAGTAACTATTGCATTATCTTTCTACATACACAGTATTCTACTTATGCAGCCTAGATTACAGCGTTGGTAAAAACGATGATTTCCACATGTACATTTTCTTTTGGCATTAATTGGCCTACAGAGTATGTATGTAGAATACCTAAGCAATATTTATAATAGACTTCAATTTGACGTACTGTACATAACTCGTTACTATATGGTAACAATGATGATGAGGATGAGGATGATGATGTTGTTGATAATGATGATGTCAAATTTAAATGAAGTTGATGATGATAATGATGATGGTGTTGATAATGATGAAGACGATGACAATGATGGTGACGGTAATGATGATAATGGCGACGATGATGATGTGGTAATTTTAATTACATTGATGTCGATGACAATACTGTTGACGATGACAATACTGTTGACGATGACAATACTGTTGACGATGACAATTATTATTATTATTATTATTATTATTATTATTATTATTATTATTATTATTGTTATTATTATTATTATCATTATTATTATTATTTTATGTAGCCATCATTTGAAAAATGATATTTGGCCATCACATCGGTGCAAGGTCTACTTAATTTTATTGTTTTCATACCGTTAACTTTGTAAATTTACTACATGTATTTACTTTATGTTTACATTTATACATAGTTTAATTTATGGCAAAGCTATATCACGCATGGGCCTCATCTAGTTTGAACATGATCTGCCTGAATGATTACGTCACATTAATGCAGGGTGTCCCTTATGAGAGGCGTGGGTATGGTGTAAAAAGAAACCGGCATTGATGCACAAAACCTAACCTACTAAAATTATAACATATATAAAAATATGGCGACACACCTATGGGAGGACCAGTAAACACATGTGGCACTAGCACTTGTATTGGTGCTAGTACGTGTGCTGGTATTGGTATCGGTGATGAGCTGTTACGCTCATGCTTTCGTTGTTGCAGGATACCATTGGTCGTGTATCTGCTGATTGCTGGTACGTGTGCTGGTATTGGTATCGGTGATGATCTGTTACGCCCACGTTTCCGTTGTTGCGGGATATCACTGGTCGTGTGTCTGCTGATGAAATTTCTTTTAAAATCTAAGCTGATTTCCTCGGAGCTACTCTCAGTTTGGAAATTTTCGTACCCATACACGCTAAGTCGATGGTTTAAACGCCGATCTTGCCTTAACAATAATCGCTGAAATGTATGATCACATATGCTTAAACGGCTATACACAATAAAGATATTTATTTTTTCATTATTTATTATTTTTGTTTCCTTCAAAATCCAACAGCAAGTACACTAGCCAGTTATAGGATGGAACGATGCTTTATAAACCAAGACTCTTATCATGGCCTAGAAAGTGGGGTTGTTATTTTAGAATTTATATAACAAATTCTGTTCTGAGATCGTAAACAGCATCCGGTGTATTAATCAGGGAAATTGATCTTATCCATCTACATTGATCAAATTTACAATAGTAGGTATGGCAGGCCTTCTGTATCTCTCAGTTTTACATCTGGGGACATCAATGATGTATTAGACCTAAGGGTTCCCCTCTCCCCCCGGCAAGGAAGTAACATGTCACGAAAGCAGTCAGGCTTTAAATAACCCCCTGCCAAAGGACAGCACAAGAGTTTCTCTCCTTGCCGCGAGGGATGTAACCCTGCAACCTATTAGGGCATTGTCATAAGTACTGTAGACAGCATCAAACATTATGCGACATGCTCTTTTCTGGATGGTCTCAATGCTGTTGGTCATTTTATTGGTTAAATAAAGCCATGCCAGGTACTTGGCCAGTGTATTCCAAGATGGGCCTAATGTAGGAAGCATAAACAATGAGAAGGTCAATTTACTCTCCATAACGCAGCACCCCCTAGTTCCGTCACCTCCCGCGAGACAATATCTCGGGTGTAAGCTCTTCAACTTCGCTCCAGTTGTAAATATAGTTGTAAAATATATTTCAGTACGCTAAAACCTGTTTCATGTGAGTCGGTATACCGGTCATCTAAAACTCTCTACTATGCAAACGTATTACAACTACAGTATACAGTTTATATAGTTGTCCAGCATGAACCCAGCACCATGGAAATGTGTACACTAACTACTTCAGTATCACTGAATACAATGGTAAATCACAAATCGTGCCAAGTTTGAACCGTGTACTCAGTTGGTATTCTCGTGAAAGGAAATCATCGAAATCGTTTAATGCCAGAAAAGAAGCAGAGGAAGGATTAGAAAAATGCTTATGTCTTTAAATCAATAAAATTTAGACCAAAACAAATATATAGCTAAAAATACAGCATTATTATTATTTTCCAGCACTGGAAATACTTTCGTTGTAAACTCTTTTGTGGCCGTGCGAATATACTGAAGATAAAGAAACAAAAAAGAATATTACTGTATAGGTTTAACCACTAGTACCACAAATCCACAACACCCTCTCTACAACTGACTTTAAAACCAGAAAGAAAGAGAAATAATAATTGATATAATGCCATAAATGCTATTATAACCAACAGGCACGTAGCCCAGTTGACTTTAAACCTTGGCACATAATAAATAGGGGCCTATATTTGGTGACACGTTGGAATCATTCCAAATAGGCACATGTTGTGTGAACTTTGAATGACAAGATTCATGATTCAAGAAACATTACTGTACGTATACGTACATAGTGAAATATCATTACCCGGAGTATTACGCGGTTAAATTGAGAATTAAATGGGAATTACGAATGCATCCATCACTTACTCATTCCAATAAATTATATAGAGGACGTACTAAAAATTAAACAGAACTTGAAACATCAAACACAATATTGTATTTCAAAGGAATGTTTTGAAACAGTTTGAAACCAATAATCTATGATATTACGGCATAATTTTAAAAGAGATATAATTTTAAACATATTTATCAAATTTAGATTTCTCCAGACTAAATATATGACCATTATGTAAACATCGATAATTATAATGGAATTTATTTTACTTGAAATGTAGGTTTATCTTATTGTTGAATGATGAAATAGAAAACAAATTGTCCGTCTGCGCAATGTCGTCTACAACACATGCGCAGTAAAAGTGACGTATTCTTAATTTATTTCGTGATATTTCAGAATCATTTTTTAGAAGCAAATTTATGATCTAATTTTTAACTTATTAAAAATTGAATTACAAAGGTCAGTGAATAACGAATACACGGTTTTGTAATTAAACGGAAGTCCGGCACAAAACATAGTATTTACCAAGAAGAGATAAAGAGATTATGTTTAGGACTTTTGTCTACTGATTCACCAACAAAGTAATGGCAAAGAGTTCGTATATAAAGTCTTGTAACTTTATATTAAATTAAAAAATATATACAAAAATACAAATACAAATAAAAATATTTTCATTGATTACATTTAACACTATTTAATAAGATATATTATTGTTATAGCATTAATAATCATACAATAATGAAAGAATGACTAATAAAATGGTTAATAATAATAATAATTAAAATACGAATATTACCAATAAAATAATAACTATCATATAGATAAAAATATAATAATGAACATGTTTTCTTAAATTATATACAAAAGTATTAGTGTACGGTATACATGACTACAGTACGATAAGTAAAATAATTTAAGAGTCTTGTTTTTTTTTCTTTTATAAAGCATAATGATACTGTATCATAAGCTTACCCCGATTTCCGTGCTACTTGAGCTAATTTCCTGGCCTGCCGCAACAAATTCTGTAGTGAGCATTGTCCATAAGCACACTTTTATTACCAGCGTTACCTTTTCCACCACCGTCATGTCGAAGCACAGGCTGATAATACTCTAGAAGTAGGCCTATGATCTCTGATGAATGATAGTATATACCTTTGGTCGGTGGTAGTGATATGCCTCCAGTTACTAAGTTGTTTTGAACATTGGATTCAATTCAGACAAGCTTAATATAGTGCGGAATTATTTCCTGAACACCAAAAAGCTTTTCAATATTAGTTCCTTTAAGTTGAGCGTTTTTACATCATTATGTGTATATTGCACAGTTCCTCGTTTGATTCTGTTTTTGATAAAGCACTATAGTATTGATTTTGATTTCTCACTACTTTCCCAAAAATATTAACAGCATTTTTCTGATGATTTGTACTGATAAAAATAATTGTACCTGTTCTTACTAAAACCTTTTCATCTGATATTATGAGTCAATATTCGCCATAGGAACCAAATTTCCACAGCTTTCAGCTCATCTATTTGAAAATTATAACAAATGCGTATGCCATAATAATAGGAAGTACGTAGCAGTCTTAAATATGATCCTAAATATACATAATATAGGGGCCTACATACATACATACATATATATATATATATATATATTTATATAAATATATATATACATATATATGTATATATATTTATATATATATACATACATATACATTTATATATATATATAATACATATTTTTTTCCCTTGATGATTTAAGCATTTCACGTTTTACTGTATTGTAAATGTATGAAGAAACACATTAAAGACAAATAAATAAATAAACAAATAGACGATTAATAATAACAATGTTCAAATATGTACATGTTTGTAATAACCGTATCAATTACTGATAATTCATAAAAAATGTTTATGCCCATATAATAGATTACAAATATTATAGACTACGTAGAACCTGTTGTGTCTTCCTTGTTTCAATTCTTCCATAACGCCCAAGAGCTCTCGGTGTTCGCAGCCCCGGGTCCCGACCCGAATGGGGTTCCCTCGTGGGGCAATGGCGCCACTGCTACTACATATCACTTAACTGCGGAGCTTTGATGTAACGATGAGTGTTTTCTGGTGCGAACGTCCAATCCCTAGTACAGTGAGCCTACAGGGGCCACCGGGGGCCCCACTCATACTACTACCCAGCACTTTAGTACGTTGCTATTGCACAAAGTTTTTGTTGACATTTTGGATTTTTTAACAAAATAAAGCTTACAAACGAGAACCTTAATTATGTTTGTAAAATGTAAACTCTTCTTATCTCTCTCGTTTTTGTACCTTGTCTTTCTTCTGAGTTTAGTACCATACCCATGATTGCTATTTCGGTGTGCGGTGTATGCAAAGGTGGACCACTGGGCTTAAGGGGTAGAGCCTGTTGGACTGCATCTTATGGCAACTTCAATACTCAAATACTGGCTTAACGATAGAACGCTGGTTGATGAAATTTAGGTTTCCGTTTAACATTCATTGCAGAAATAAAACTCAAAAAATATTCAAACTATATACAGGAGGCCCCGACACATTCTCACCCATGGGCACCCTGACTCGCCGTTACGCCACTTGATTCTCGGCTGAAATCAACATTTATATTAATTCGGTCCCCTGGACTAAAATTCCAACCTCCACTAGTCGAATTAACGTACGTTACGTAATATGTGTCTTGCTATTAACACACGACATTTAGAATTTGTTTGAAATAGATAAACACACAAAACCTACGTTTGATAAATCAATTACACTTTACTAATGATATCGTTATTTATTTATATAGGTCTACAATGATAAACACAATCACAATGTTCTAACAACTTTATAATTTATTTGTAAAATATTTATGAAATAATCACATTTTGCAAACGCTTTTATTATAAATTTATTTATTATTTATTCAATCACATTTAGGCCTACTAATGACATTGCCATAAATTAAAATACTAAGTAAAACAATAACATTAGAATACCTAAGTTATACATTGTTAAATAAATTCATTGTAGATCTAACAAACGCCACTATTATTTATTCTAGGCCTACCGCCGCCATTATTATACATAATGATACACATTGTACTCTAATAATATATATTAATTTATCATTTCTAGCTATGTTATTCTTTCAATCTATGGTTTAAACATAAAATCAATAACATTAATATGTACTATAATAATGCTAATGACCATAATAATGATGAAAATAATAATATAAATAATAATAACAATATTAATAATAATAATAACAATAATAATAGTAGTAATAATAATAATAATAATAATAATAATAATAATAATAATAATAATAATAATAATAATAACACTTCATAAATTTCTTTCTTACTTATGAAAGCCGCTTAAAATGTTCGAAATATTTCATTAAATCAAATAACAGCAGATAAACTAGGAAAATGTACAGCCAATTGCAGCATTTGTTGGAAACCAACCTACGGATGAGAGGGTTATTTATTTATCTATCCATTCTTTTAATTTAAAAACGATTGGTGTTGTTATTGTTTTGTTGCTGGACATCTTTATTCTGTCTTTCAAATCCTTACCTTTTTGCTCTTTGTGTTTTTTCATATTTTTCCATATCTTCTACATTTTTATATAGTGCGTTTTTTATTTATTTATTTATTTTATTCAAACATTCAGCAGTGTAAACATCATTTATAGGATGAACATTATAGATATACAAGATAAAAAGCAGAACAACACAATAATCATTAAATTATTATTTTCTTTACATTATGCCTATGATGATTTTAAATAATATTTTCTGTACGTCTCTTTTAAATCAATTGAAAAAATATCAACAATTGAAAAAATATCAACAAACTAATAGTTGCACACGGATTTATGGTACATTTTAAAAGTATTTTGAGACAGATTCAAGGTTTAAGAACAGCATTTATTGTATGGATAACACCGTTTTCAGCTGTAATATCACACTCCGTAACTCTAGAACGGTTAACGATCCCGTATCCGTATCGTATGCGTTGGACCATGACTGTTTTTCCCACGGCCGTCATTCGTCTGCTAGGCAATTCACGCGGTATGAGCTCGTGGCAGCACTGGCGTTCTAAACAGGATAAAATATTAATATTTACATTAAACATTGGACGTTCTGTTTTTAGAAAAATATATTGATATAATGAATTACTAAGATATAGAAATAAGCTGTCAAAATGATTATCACTAAATTAATCACGCTTACATTAACACATGCAAGACAACAAGCTGCAGGGCACATAATTCGTGGGATTACTGCGGAACCCCCACCTTTGGGACGCTCCTATTAAAGGGTTTCCCAACATGCATATGAGCTAATTATTATTATTATTATTATTATTATTATTATTATTATTATTATTATTATTATTATTATTATTAATATTATTATCATTATCATTATCATTATCATTATCATTATCATTATCATTAGCATTATCATTATCATTATCATTATTATTATTATTATTATTAATATTATTATTATTATTATTAATATTA